GCCCAGATAAGTCTATGTTTGCCACACAAACACCTAAACTAATTTCTGAAGCGCCAACACAAACAATCCAACACTAGGAATCAGTTTATCATCGATGGAAACAACAGATTAGTAGCTGCGATTAATCCCATGACACCACTAGTTATGTCACAACAGGTCAATCACCTGAATCTACAGTTCACAATAATAAAAACCATGCTGGCCAGTCGAAAAGCATTCCAACTGAAATTTGCAGCTCACAGTCACTCCATGAATTCCACTTAGAAGCTGAGCACGGAACTATTTACTTTTAATTTACACATGGATGCAAAAGCCAACTATTTTGAATTTTTAAAAGCAACAAATTGCTATGACTAAAAACAGTAAACCTATCTATTCTCTATATTGACTAGTATAATCTTTCCCAAAAATTATGTATTTTTAGGATTTGCTGTTCAGGCAGGATTTCCTCTGAACCAAACTGTTTAATTTCAGCAGGGAGGCGCTGAGTGCTGATGTACTGTATACACCCAAAAAATAGTGTACACAACCCCACAAACACACTATGCAAATCCAACAAATATTGTACACAAACTCCACAAATAATGTACACAATCCCACAAATACTGTACACAACTCCCAAAAATGCTGTACAATTAACAATGATCAAACATGAATGCCTGTTTTTACCAGTGTAGCCGTAAAGACAAAGTTACGGGCGCAGGTGACGAATCGCGGAAGCTTCGAGAAATCTTAGCATTCTGCCATCGGTTGACGTACGAAGGATTTGAAATTAGTTGTCCTTAGTCACATGTCCAAAATTTAGAAGATGGTGTGCTATTGCAAAGGGGTAATCTTTGCGGCCAGTTTCTCATTTTAAATATTATTTTGCATGGCTATTTCCACCCATACTGGAATGTGCTCAGCGACTCGTTTCTCCAGGCGTCGACCAGTTCTGCCCATATAAGCAGCTTCACAGCTACATTTAAATTGGTGAATACAATTTGATTTGGCGTACGTCGACACTGGTTGTTTCACCAAGGGCATTGGCACGGGCATAGTTTTAATCCTGGTAATTGGCAAAGCGGCGTAGAAAGCTTGGCTGATGTTCTGAGCCGGCCATACAGCCGTTTCATAATGTTATTTCCTCGATATGTTATATATATGTAGACTTGTTTGGGGACTGACATTTCTGTAGTAGTTTGGCTGAGGCGGTTAGCAGTGGCGCTTAATAAAACTGACTGGGTATCTGTTCAATAATAACGTTTGTTTGAGGGCCTCTAGTTCAGACTGTAGCGTATCGCTGTAGCAAATCTTGCTAGCGCGGTTGAATAATGTTCGTACTAGGACACGTTTGGACTAGATGGGTGCAAAACTATTAAAATTCATGTACTGGCCCGTCCAAGTATCTTTCCTATATACTGATCGTTGGATAGTGACATCTTCTCTTTGTCTGATCAGGACGTTTAAAAAGGTGATCGTGTTGTTACATTCATGTTGTGAGAGGTTTTGTGTGGCCAGTTCATCTGTGTATGTAGTATTTTTGATGGACTGTTTAAACTGAAGTGCAAAATCTGCGTATGTAGTATTTCTATGGACTGTTTAAACTGAAGGGCAAAATCTGCGTATGTAGTATTTCTATGGACTGTTTAAACTGAAGTGCAAAATCTGCGTATGTAGTATTTCTATACTGTGTAAACTGAAGTGCAAAATCTGCGTATGTAGTATTTCTATGGACTGTTTAAACTGAAGTGCAAAATCTGCGTGTGTAGTATTTCTATGGACTGTTTAAACTGAAGTGCAAAATCTGCGTATGTAGTATTTCTGATGGACTGTTTAAACTGAAGTGCAAAATCTGCGTATGTAGTATTTCTATACTGTGTAAACTGAAGTGCAAAATCTGCGTATGTAGTATTTCTATGGACTGTTTAAACTAAAGTGCAAAATCTGCGTATGTAGTATTTCTATGGACTGTTTAAACTGAAGTGCAAAATCTGCGTATGTAGTATTTCTATACTGTGTAAACTGAAGTGCAAAATCTGCGTATGTAGTATTTCTATGGACTGTTTAAACTAAAGTGCAAAATCTGCGTATGTAGTATTTCTATGGACTGTTTAAACTGAAGTGCAAAATCTGCGTGTGTAGTATTTCTATGGACTGTTTAAACTGAAGTGCAAAATCTGCGTATGTAGTATTTCTATACTGTGTAAACTGAAGTGCAAAATCTGCGTATGTAGTATTTCTATGGACTGTTTAAACTGAAGTGCAAAATCTGCGTGTGTAGTATTTCTATAGACTTTAAACTGAAGTGCAAAATCTGCGTATGTAGTATTTTTATACTGTTTAAACTAAAGTGCAAAATCTGCGTATGTAGTATTTCTATGGACTGTTTAAACTGAAGTGCAAAATCTGCGTATGTAGTATTTCTATGGACTGTTTAAACTGAAGTGCAAAATCTGCGTATGTAGTATTTCTGATGGACTGTTTAAACTGAAGTGCAAAATCTGCGTATGTAGTATTTCTATACTGTGTAAACTGAAGTGCAAAATCTGCGTATGTAGTATTTCTATGGACTGTTTAAACTTAAGTGCAAAATCTGCGTATGTAGTATTTCTATGGACTGTTTAAACTAAAGTGCAAAATCTGCGTATGTAGTATTTCTATGGACTGTTTAAACTGAAGTGCAAAATCGCAGTGCAGGACTGTCGGTTACAGTTTCTTGAAGAATGCCTCACAACTGGAATTTTTCCTCACCACTATTTCAAATCACTGAGGGCTGATAAAATCTGCCCATTGGTAAGGAACCTCAGACGAATGACTAACAGTTATATAGAAGAAATCCATTCTAAACTGACTAATCTCCTATGTGTTCACAGTTTGGCCTATAGCGTAATCAACTATTTGACTGTGTTGTTACATCAAGTTCACCAAATTCTGCACTGTAACTGTTACAAAAGCGAAAAGTCACTGAGCTCTGAAAGGATTATTACTTCTTTAATTGAAGAAACATGTAATAAATATATCATCATTCACACTTAGTAAAAAGATTGATGTTTTGCATACAACCACAAAGAATCAATCCGATTGAGTCACAGGCTCAATTTGAAATGTTTTTTTTTAAAACTAGCTTTCAACATTGATACTGTCCTCTGCCGATTCGGTTAGATGGCTAAAAGCAAAATGACTGGATTTGGAACACCAGTAACGTACAGCCCAATCAAAACAGCAGTGTCATTTGAAGAGCAAATTATAGCCCTGAGAACACTGAAAACTAATGATTAACTGGTAATATTAAAACCCGACAAAGGTTGTTGTGTAGTGGTGATGAACAAGTCTGACTAAAATGGAAAACAACCGGTTCAAAACAGCAGTCAGCCAAACTTTCTACGCTGCCCTGCCTATTATCATGTTTTAACTACCCCTGTACCTACGCCCTCTGTGAAACAACCAGTGTCGACGTACGCCAAATCAAATTGTATCTACCAATTTAACCCTCTTAGCACGGACGGGCCGATTATCGGCCGGAGGATGTCTGGCTAAAAACACGGAACGGCCGATGATCGGCCTGATCGTGTTTCGCCTCGAAATCTCCTACTTTGAAACACTGAAAGTGATTCATTTATATTAACTGCGGTATCAGCTTTACACATGGCGACTTTCGAGTGCTTGGTATCGAAGTGAAAATTGTTGTTGAATTTTTTAGATAGTGACCTGAACCGCTAAAAGTATGTCTGACTCGTATGTTTCTGCCCCTAAACTTGATGTTGATAAAACATTTGAATCAAGTGATGACACTAATTCTGTTGATACTGATGCAGGATTTAGCGTTAGTAGTAATAGTGGGAATCAGATGGGGACGCTGTTGTGTTTAGACCACAGCCCAACCATGGCTCAGGGTATATCCACCCGAAGGTGTTGACACTCCGGCACATCCATTTCTAGTGCTGACTGATGGTGAAAAACATATGTCACCTAAAGATATTATTGCTGTTTCACATATATATACCTGTTTTTGACTTTTGAATTGCTTACAACATTTGTAAAAAGGCCAAAGATCAATAAAAATATTTCAAATAAAAAAAAATTTTAGTTTTTAGTTTTATGTTTCAAGCATTGAAGTTGAAAATTCAAATTCATATTTTCTATTTTTAGATATGCAAATGAGATAATTTGCATATACATCAATTAATTGTAACGATATTGTGAAAATCACGAACTTCAATCTATATCCTTCAAATAGATATATTATTTCATAGGGGTCAGAATAACAGAAATCTGTCAAAAAAAAATAAATAAAGTAATAACCAAATTCACTGAAAAAATGCTCCGTGTTTTTGGCTAGACCTCTGAAAAACTTCCCGTGCTAAAAGGGTTAAATGTAGCTGTGAAGCTGCTTATGTGGGCAGAACTGGTCGACGCCTGGAGAAACAATTCGCTGAGCACATTCCAGTATGGGTGAAAAAAGCCAGGCAAAATATTTAAAATGAGAATACTGGCCACAAAGATCACTCCTTTGCAATTGCATTCCATCTAAAATCTGGACACGTGGTGCTAAGAACAAATCATTTCAAATCCTTCATACGTCAACCAATGGCAAAACGCTAAGATTTCCCGAAGCTTCTGCAATTCGTCACTTGCGCCCAGGACTCTGTATTCAGAAAGAGATGGTTCTGTCTTTACGGCTGCCCTGTAAAAAAAACAGGCAGTCATGTTTGATCGTTGTTGAAATTGTACTTCAGTTATAAAGGATTCACTTATTTGCTTCATTTATGTAATTGTTACTGTAGTATACTATTGACGAGATAGTGAAATATGCCAGGCAATAAATTGTGCAATGCAGTAATCTATTGTTTGTGTCTTCTTTGTTCAGATAAAGTCATTTACAAGCAAAGACATTAGACAAGACATTTAAGTCTAAAAGTAAGACGTCAATTAATCAAGTAAAGACAGAATGTTACAATGTACTACTATGTCAATGTGTGACTGTGTGTACTGCAGAGACACCAGTAGAGACAACTCACCAAGTTTGCTGTGCTTATCCTGGCTGCGGTGGTGTGATCCATCCATGTTATCTTCCAACACTGGGGACATGTCGCTGGACAACAGCCGCCGTTTGTTGACTTCATCCTCGCGATGTTTCTTCCTTTCTAGTCCTCGCGATGTTCGTCTGCTCGAAGTCGTATTCTCCTCTCGAAGTTTCACTTTGTACATGGACCTCAGAGAATCGGAGGCCATTGTGGTAACGGCGAACGATGTATCAACCAAATTAGTCAAACAGTACTGAGTATGTAAAAAGAACTCGTCACAAGGCGAAGACGAGAGAATAATAATAAATCACTAGTCACTACAAACTACAACACTACACACTCGGTCGGTCACGCAGAACCTGACCTAAATTACTCTTGGCACTTTTAAGCTGTGATTCACTCTAACTAATCCTAAGTAATAATAATACCCAAGCAGCTGAAATCATGTAGTAGTATTTGAGGTTTCCCACTTAGAAATCCTGTAAAAGCGGCCAAAAAAAAAACCTCTGCCAGAAAGAAAACAAACCGTCGATAGCTACTTCCCGCCCGCTGGCCGCTGCTCCACCGTTTGAATGTCTCCGCCTGATTGGTCGCTTCCTTTGCGCATGGGCGGTCACACTTCCGCTTCCGCCGCTTCAGGTTGCCTCGGAGTTTCTAGCAGGATTGCCATATTGGCTTTTTTTACGCCAGATTCCATAAAATTGGCGTATTTGAAATTAAATTGATTTACGATATTCAGCTAAGTAAAAACTGGTGAAACTATGGGGGTGACTGCAGTCAAGCTAATACAATGAATTAAAGAGAAATTTGACTAAAAAGCTCAACAAAATGGGAAAGAGGAAAACGTGCACAAAACAACACAACGTAACGTTTCGGCCGGGCAGCCTTTTTCAAACACAAGTGAAATACACAAACGAGGAATAGAGAGTATGTAGATCTCTAAGGGGTGACGTGAGCGACGTTTAAAAAATGTGATGCGGAATAAATGTGCCTGTTTCTATCCGGAACACATTCTACAAGGGGGTCTAAACAAAGTTTTAGCAATCACCAGAGAGATGCTTTTCCTACCAAACGTAACTCCACCAATGATGGACCTAAATTGATCTTGACTTTTCACCCTAACAATGTGGTTGCTTCCAAAGTATTCTTTCGTCATTTGGACATTCTCCGCTCTGATCCGGACACCAAGATTATCTTTAGTGAGAAACCTAGATTAGTTTACAGACGAGATCGCAACCTTAAAGACATACTTGTCCGAAGCCGACTTCCACCGATCCACACAGCACTTCCTCTTGGGACTACTCAGTGCTCACGCAGCACCTGCAAAACATGTCCTTTCGTTGTCGAGACTTCTTCGGTCAGTTTCCCTAATGGTTCTTTTCAAATTAGGGAACCTTTTACTTGCGAATCCCGCAACGTAATTTATGCAATTATCTGCAAACGATGCAGCAAGGCATACATTGGGGAGACTGGCAGGAAGCTAGCTGATCGTTTCCGGGAACACCTCTCTGATATCGACAAGAAGACACTCAAACCAATCTCTTTTCACTTTAATAGCCCTGACCACAGCGGTAAAGATGACATATCTGTCACAGCATTTAAATCTTGATCTGACGATCATACTACCCGCCTCGCTTTGGAAAATCGCCTTATCCACAGCCTTGGCGTTCTTAGTCCAAGAGGTATCAATATCCAACATACCTTCATCTAAATAGTTCTAATCTTATCACATTTTAAATGTTAATTATTTTATTTTATTTCATATTATTACCATATTCTATTTCTTATCAATATCATTTATGTATCATTAACACTTGCATTTCTTTTATTCCCAGTATTGTGACTATACTTTTTAGACATCGTTTATTTTATTTTATTTCATTTATTCCGCATCACATTTTTTAAACGTCGCTCACGTCACCCCTTAGAGAGCTACATACTCTCCATTCCTCGTTTGTGTATTTCACTTGTGTTTGAAAAAGGCTGCCCGGCCGAAACGTTACGTTGTGTTGTTTTGTGCACGTTTTCCTCTTTCCCATTTTGTTGAGCTTTTAGTCAAATTTCTCTGGAATTCATTTTAAGTAAAAACTGTATACACCAGGGAGATGAATGGTCGTAGACCACGAGGGAATCCAAGAAGACTATGGAGAGATAATATCCAGACAGACCTGCAAACACTTGGTGTTACCAACTGAAAAGAGAAGGCCAACCAGAGAGATAAATGGAGGCGGGGGATATCTGCATCAATGAACCTCAAGGGCTAGGAATGCTAAAGAGAAGATATTGAGCTGGCGTAATTTGGCATTTTTTAGGTTTTCCTGGTTTTCTAAACAAGACGTGCTCACATTTTCTTCATAGTTCATCCATGAGAAACACGCTAATTTACTCAAAGCAATGTAGGCCTACAGATAACATTATTTCAGTTTGTCTGTATTGTGATGTCCTGGTACCACTGGTACACGGACTAAAGGAGAATCGGGCTCTCCTTTGAAAAACGGTCCCAAATGATCTACGCAGAAAGTGAACCCAAACAGAGCCTTACTTATATCTAAAATTCGCATTTCTTTTGCGGCGAATCAACCGTGTCAAAATTAGGATTAATTGCGCACGACATTTTCGCGCAACGCAACGGATTTTTTTACAGCGATTACACGGCGGCAAAACTAGAATTAACTACGCACGAAAAAAAATTAGCGACACTCGAGAATACTCCCGAATAGCGCTATCCTACGGCAGGGCCCGAGTTATATGTAAGTTGCGGACCGCTTTTCGCCGACTATAGTGCCACCTCCGAGCGTATCACCCGCTTCGCTACGCGCGGCGCGGAAGAGCCTAAACTAGATGGCAAGGACTCACGAGCATCAGCTACTGCAGCTCCTGCAGCGTCCTCCAATGTATTTGCCCGTGAGTCCCAGCCATCTAGTTTAGGGGGATACTCTCAGAAGTGACACTATAGTCGCGGGGAGTGGGGGGAGTCTACAATTTACAGGAGCTACTTCTTCTGTCGAAAGTACCAGCGTGCTCACATTCGCCACGGTCAAGTGGTGGTTGGGATAGTGGAGCGCCATTGTGGCGGCTGCTGGTTTGACGTTGTCCCGAGGCGACATGCGCGTACATTAAACCGCGCATTTACATCATGTCTCGCCCGGAACGAGAATCGTAGACAAGCCGTGCTGAGTTACAATGGCGGACAGCGAGACAGAAAAGATATTCGCGCACTATTTGCAACTTCTGTGCTACAATTTTCATATATAAAGGATTTAATTTGCGGTAAGTAGTAGACTTTGCCCTTTTCCTTACACTTTTCGTTCCTAATTTTTTCCGAGTTACAGCTTTTAAATATTTGTAGGGGAGGACGTAATGAGGCTTTGTTAAAGTTAACTTTCTGCATTGTCATTTGGGACCGTTAATCAAAGGAGAGCCGAGATTCGCGCTATCTCTTAATGAATTAGCATCTGTGTATGAATATGTTGTCTTCCTAAACGGATCCTGACTGCGAGAAACAAGTGCTCTATGTAATTTAACTATAATAAATCAGGCGATGGATAAACCATCGCACGTTCATTATTCAGTACGGGGTCACGTTGGCTGGAAGACTTACCTGTGCTGGTGGTTGGAGTTTACTATAAGAAAATGTTTAATTTAATAGAATATATGCGGGATATAAAACCAAAACCAACAACTGATACCAAGTGATTCCGAATGTTCAGGACTACTTGAGGATAGAAACAAGAGATAATATAGACCAAGTTTTATCTGTGTTAGATTTTATTACTTTTACCAATGGCCACGGCAGCAAAAAAAGAAGGGAAAGTATCTTATGACAGCAATCGCAAGTATAATAGTAATTGGGAGAAAACATACCCACGGCTCAAAAGATCTTCAAACTAGCGACTACGGACGCGCCCCCGTCACGTGACCTCCGAATAACGATGACGTCACCGACCTAGCAAAAATTTGCGTACTGAAAACATCGGCGGGATTCGGGGTGCCCTAAATTCTTTTGAAAAGCACGCCAAATCACGTGGTTTCCCTAGCTATAAATAGCCCGAACGTCAGATGTTACAATCAGTTAGACAGCACATGGTGAGTGGAGTTTGTGGTTGGCGGTCTGTTTTCGTTGTTCTCTTGTGAATATATAGCTACGTTCACCATATCAGCATAAAGCTTTAAGATAGATTGCATAAATTTACTAGTGATAATTAGATTCATCAGCCATTTATATATTAGTGTGTAAAATTTCATAACTCTAAATGATTGGTAGAATTCACAGTGCAGTTTAGAAGTTCATCAATTGAAAGTCCAATTCTAGTGGCATGCCATCCTCCATTTTGAATAAATCGATAATCCTCTTAATAGTCACCAGACTCTACCCAGCTAAAGTGCATATTTAATTACTTTTTCGTACATTATGTCACATTTTAACAACACTGTTTGAAGCCTGCAAATTATTTCAGTATTTTAAATGGAAGTTTGGTATTATTTATTGATGTGGTTGGTTTTTTCATAGGGGCGCCAATAACTAGTGTGAACTAGTATTTTGAAAAATTTCATTTATTTTTTTGAGTTATATTACGGTTATATGCTGACTTGCAGAACTATTGTAGTTATTTTTGAAATCTCTATCCATTTTAACAATTCTCTGGAAAATTGCACCTCTTATAATGGTTGGAGCGATTTCTAAATTGCGATTTTAATAAGATGTGTGTTAAAAAACGAATGCGTGGTCAGTCTGCCAAAAGCACGTTGCCATAGCAACAGTGCCACGCTTCATAATTCATTACTTTAACTATAATAAACATTTGCTAAAAAGTACCTGTTTCTCTACTCTCTCTTAACAGTTTTCAGTTAGTATTACAAACATTTAGAATTATTAGAGTGGAAATTATTTATATTTAAATTGTTTTAATTAATAATCAATTAATTTGTGTTTATTCTAATAATATTATAAATTATAAAAATAAAATTAATACAATACAATACAGTTCAATACTCAAATACTGTATTTTTTCTTTACTAATTAGACTCACTGATCTCTTATATATCTGTAATTACATTATTTTTTATACACACACATTATATATAATATATATATATAAAAACAGGAAATATCATTTTCAATCATTGTCATTGCCACAACATAACTAAACATAACGAATAATTTTTTGTTGTTGCACAGATCACTGTCTCACAATGGAAAATAAAACC